GGAAAGACTACTGTCATACAAAGCTAACCGAAATGTTTTCTTCCAGCCAATAGTACCTTTGCAGAAAAGGGAAGGGATAACATCAAGTGGTGGAACATGGTACACTACTTTTATATCACACAAATGTAAGTTATCCGTTACCAATTAAGCAGGCAAATCGAGAAAAAGCCATCATGCACTCTCTATGCCTTGTGGTAGAAGAAATGTCAGAGGTATAAATTTGGATAAAATGTTGCTCTTCTGTGGCAAACAGATGAGCAAGATTTCTCCCCTTTAAATCACAAATGCATGTGGGTGTTTAGATAGAGACACACACATTGTATCACCAGTTCTTTAGCTGCAAGTCTTTTGAAACACAGAAGGGAAATTTATGGTTCAAACACAAATTTAATGTAATGAAACAAATGGGTTTCCTAAGCAGTTCTATGATTACTTCAGGTACTCTTCATTAAGTAATACATAAGCTAAATCATGGTTGCCTCAGATAGCTTCCGGCCTATGAGTATAAAATCACACCTGGTAACTTCCATTTACTCAGGGACAGTTAATAAATGTAATGGCTCCTAGTTACAAAGTAACAGAGTGAAGCAGCCATCAGCACTGTGTAGTTACTGTATGAACACAAGAACTAGCTCTTGGCAGTAGCACTGAACTCTACGTTCTCCTCAAGCAGAGATGTAGTAAAAGCTGCTCAGCAATGAGACATAGTCCCTGGAAATATATTCATAGGTATAAATAAAGTTACAGACTCTCTTGTTACAAAAATGTAAGTACGTAAATAATAGGACATTAACAAATGCTTTGTCAATCTCTCAAAGGAGAAAGCACACGAAAAGGAAAATAGCTGGCCTAACACCCGGCTCAATTGTACAATCTTCTATCTATATATAAAACTGTGTGAAATAAAAGGAAGGATGTTTTATGTTCTGCTTGGCACTTTTGTACTCTATCGTTTTGTTTCTGAATCAAGTATATTAAATTAAAGCCAACCTACTACATATATAGAAAGCTACATATATCTATATATAAATATTTACATATGTATATATAGATACTTTCTTGTTATAAAAGATGAAGAAAAATAAATTAAAAAGCCAACCCCTTCCCTTTCTCCACCACATTGATATGCTCTTTCCATGATGCTGTCCTTCAGACTTTAAAGTGCTACACTGAGTTATTGAGAGAATAAGAGTTCAATAACACTTAGTTGGCTTCATGAGGCTCATGTTGGAAAATGTGGCTTCACAGAGAAAAATACTTCCATTTAAATACACAGAGAGCATTGCTGGACGTCTTGAGCAGATCTTCAGAGATGGAGAAGAAAGCAAAAGTGTTGGGTGGTACTCTTTAAAAAAGAGTCACACATCTACCACCATCTTTTTGTGGATATCTAGGCCACCTACGACCTGCAACAGACAGGAACAAACCAAGTTTAACAATGTTTGGGAAACTCCACTTCAGCTTATCAATCACCACCTTATCAAAACTAATAACAGCCAAACTACCCCTTAGTCATTTTCAGAAGCTGGATTTAAAACAAAACAAAACAAACAAAAAAAACAACCTTGAGTGGCTTCCAATTAGAATTTCCATGGCTTCTTTCTCTTATAACAAATTTTGTTTTTTCTTTTTCTTTCTTTTTCTTTTTTTTTTTTTTTTTTTTTATGAGTTATTCAATTTGGGGACCAGGAGATGATGTAATGGTTACGTTGCTGGGACTTCCAGATGGCCGACCACAATTTGAGTCCTGGACCTGGTGGCTTCAAATTCTCACCAGGCACATATATGTGAAAGTGCCCACCCAAGATCCCAAGAGGAGAATGAAGAAGAGACTGTGGTGTGGCTATCCCCCCAGGTGTGATGTCTCACTTTCTGTCTCTCTCTCTCTCTGATTCCCCAGTGAGTACACATGCCCTGTACTGAAAATCTCTCTTAAAAAAAAAAATTAACTTTATTTATTATTATTTTCTAGTTTTATCAGAGACAGAGGAAAGAGAGAGAGGGAAAGTGAGAAAGCAAGCCATTAGGCCCAGGACTTAAAACATGGTTGGCTACCACCAGGCCACCTGCTGGCCCCAAGCTTTATATTTTATGCAGGGTCAGCAAACTTGTTATGAAAAGGGCTAGGTAGGGATCAGCAGTTGGCATAATGGCTATGTCACTGGACTCTCATGTAGTCGAACGCGATTAGAGTCCCGGACCCAGTGGCTTAAACTCACACCGGGCACATGTGCACAGGCGTCCAAGATCCCGAGAGGAGAATGGAGGGGAGGGGTTGTGGAGTGGCCATCCGCCCTGGGGGGGGGGTAATTTCTCGCTTTCTGTGTGTCTTTCTGGTGAGCGTACACGCCCTATAGCAAACTCCCCCGCCCACTACCACAAAAAAAAAAAAAAGAAAAGAACTAGGTAGCAAATATTTTAGGCCTTGTAGTCCAAATTTAGTTTATTTTTATTATTTGCATTTGCTTCTTTTTTTAAAACAGCACTTTAAAAGTGTATAAAATTGAGGCCAGCTCTGTAGCACAGTGGTTAAGTGCAGTGCATTAGGAAGCTGTAACCCCACATTGGGAGCAGTTCTAATCCCAGCCCCAGGGGCTCAAAGACATACAGGTCTTGTGTGGACGTGTGCCTGTCCAAAATCCTGGCAGGACAGAGCAATGAATAAAGAGGACTGGGCTGCAGTGTGACCACGCCCCACTGGGGAGTGCTTTCTTTCTCCCTTTCTTTCTCAGGCAAAAGCACACACCTTCTGATAATTAAAGATGAATATGATATAAAAAGTATTATCTCAAAAACTTACAAAAACAGGTCATGGGCTGGACTAGCTAGCTGTGTAGTTTGTTGATGCTTACTCTGGTAGTTTAAATAATAACCAGATTTTACCATAAACATTGTCCTGAAAAACAGATACATACTTCACTGTCGGTCTATTCTGGAAAGTATTTTAAAGTACCAAACAAAATTTTCTACACATTATTTTCCCATTGAGTCAAATATATATCTCAGTGAATATTAACGTGATAATCTAAAAGTTTTAATCATCTGTATGATTTTGAAGGAGTGTTTTATTAAGAGCATATATAAACAGAATGCATAAAAAAATCATCAATGTCCACACTGAAAACTCAAGAAACCAGCACCCAGGCAATGGTTACAGAACTCCTCTATGGTCCCCTTCCAGACACCAGCACGTCCCCTCCTCTCTCCTCTCACCCGAGCACACCCCCTACAGGGAGCTGCCATCTTGACTTACTATCATGGGCTAGTCTTCTCTGTTCGTGTGCAGTTTTATAAATGGCATCACTTCCGTGGCATCTTTCACCCCACATCATGTTTGTGAGATTAATCCATGTTGTGTACAGATGTATCTGTATACCCTTAAAATTTAAACTCTTAAGTTTTTCAAATTGAAAAAATAAGACATGTAAAGAGCCAACTGCTTCTGCTGTTACCTACTATGAAAACCACAGTTCCTCATCCTGCTCTCACTATTTCCTTCCACACAGAGATAATCACTGAAAACTTCCTGGTGAACTTTTCACTCTGAACCCCTAGGTCTCCAAGTAACACTCCTTACATTGACTTTTCTGGATTTTAAAGCCATTAGCCACTGACTTCCCACCGCAGAAGATGAAGATTTCGCTTTCACACACTCCTCTCTTCTCTATTTCCCACCCCGCACACACGCCCGCTCTGTCCTCCGATGGCTGGACCTTGACTACACAGAAAGTCAGCACTGTGCACTGCGTCGAGTACCAAATACTATTTACAGCTGGACGGAACTGCGCACTACAATTAGGCTTCTTTTCCTGCACGTTTGTTTCTCTACATCTAATAACTGCCTGAGCATTTCCTTTGCTGAGTCTTCTATGTATTTATTATTCATCCGATCCCTCGGTTTTGCTCTGAATACATTCAAAGATATGTACTAAGTGCTTCTATCCACTTTATTACCTGGAAGCACTCTTTGGGCCCTCTGGCCTCCACTTCAGGACTGCTCAGTCTCTCTGCCTGTCATCTCTGCATCTCCCTTCACAGCCATCTAGAAACCGCCTTCTCCTCTCGCATGCTGGATCCTTTGCTTCCTGGATCCAACGTTACCTTCTTTTTAAATTCACAGCCTTATACTAGTGGGATCACATCCTACAGTAGTCTTCAATCTTAGGTAACTGAAGTGTTTTTATTCGACTGTCTAATTAAGCTCGTTGGGAGTTTTAGGTAGGAAACAAGATCTCAGTCCCTGAGAACTACAAAAGCCATGCTTCACTGTCTTCTGGTTTCCCACTCTGCTACTGAGGAACCTGGTATAATTACGATTCTTGACTTTCCATGGAGCCCTTCCTTCTCTGACTCCACCACCCACAACCCTAGCTCTTTGGAAGTGTGTAGAACGAACCTTCTCTTTGTCCCAGCTGAAAGTTTATGACCACACGCCTAGGTCCAGATTATTTTTATATCCTATGCTGAGTACTCAGTAAAGCGCTCAGTCAGGCAACACATTACTTTTGGTTCTGAGGTATCTTCCTAATTCATATCTGATGACCTCCTTACCTTCATTTCTTTCTGGAACCCCTAATATTCAGGTATTATAGCTCCTCTAATGGACCTCTAAATTTAAATTTATAAAAGCCCTTTTGTCTATTACCCAATTTTTATTTCAAGGATTCAATATATTATATCCCTGAGGATAATAATGGCAGGCTTTGTTTCACCTATGAGGTTGTTACTGCCCTGTCTAACCTGTTACTTCCAAGCTTCTTTTTGGGCTTGGTTTCTTCTGTTTCTAATCAGGTTTGGTGATCCTTGGCTCTGCCTCTGAGGAAAGGGCACCGGAACCTGTGTACATGGCAGGGCTGTTGACTGCAAGCTACACAGTCCCACAGATCTGGTGGGATCATTTCTTTGCAGAGATATGATTTCTCAAAGAGGCTCTTCCCAGCTCTTGCCTGAAGGGTACAAATGCCACTTTTGGAGGGAGGAAGTCTGGTCCTAGGAGAAGGCTAGAGGTGTTGATGTGTAAATACGCTCACTTTCACTTAACTCCCAACACAAACACACCTCATAAATACCTCAAGTTTCCCAGGCTAAAGACTTCCCCAATATCCTCCTAGGGTGAAGGAGAGGTAGCTGCCCAGGTGAACAAAGTAGGAAAGAGAGCTATCATTTCAGTTATTTCTTAAACAGACTAACAAGTCCTCCTGCTTTCAGCCTCACCTTCGCCTTCACTTTCAGAGTTAACTCATGCCACCAATATCTGGCTGCTGCACAGACTTCCAAGTGGACAGCTCAGAGTTGCCCTTTCTCCTGTCTATTACGTTAACCACTCAACTTTCTGATTTACCAAATATGGCTGTTATCTTCTTTGCTGTTATTATTTTTTTTTTTTTGAGAGGTTTTTGCTATAGGGCGCATATGCTCGCCAGACAGACATGACCATGCCTCGTTGCAGGAGTGGAGGATTTTCTTTCTGGTGAGCACATGCACCCTCTGGCAATTCAAAAAGAAAATAAAATCACGTACTATATGCGTGTTTAAAATTTGCAGAGTATTTAACATAGACATATACATTTTATAAGTGATTGACTGAACATGTATATGTCTATGTTAAATACTCTGCAACGAGGCATGGTCATGCTACAACCTTTTCCCATCCCTCCAGCCCACTAGAATCTGTGGCACACGTGCACAAGCACCCAGCATGTTTTTCAAGCTGTCAGGGCTACAATTCAAACCATGGTCAGCCATGTGGGATTCAGTTTAACTACTGAGCTACAGGCAGAACCGGTATGTAATCTTTAAAAATAATGTTTCCAGTCTTTTGTCCTATTATAGCTTGAGAAGTCATAATAAAACAAACTCGATGAAGTCAAAGTTATTGACATGCTTAATGTTTAGAAAAGTTGGTTTTAAACAGAAAACAAACATGATTTTTCCATCCATGGGACTACAGCCCTCAAAAATATAAGAAAAGGCAATTTATGACAAATACTGTTAAATAAACTCAACACTTCAGCTATGTTTTCAGTATAGCATCATCTATATATTTATAGATATGCTTTAATTTCCTTTTACCTGATAAGTTATAGATACATTTTATATTTACTAAATGCAAGCAGTCTTCATCTATACCACTCTAGTCAACAGTTTTTCATTTGCTTTATTTCGCCCAAGGCATGGGATTTCTTCTCTTTCCTTTTCTTAAAAATGGGCCCTTGTCTACGGTGCCACCTACTAACCTGATCTCATGTCACAGTCAGCCCTATGCCCATCCATGAGATTCCGTCAATGATCTCTGGCAACGGTGAAGGCGGAGACACGGGACGGATAGCAAGCTTGTGCTGCAGTACCATCGGGAAGCAGTTCACTCAGAATCTCGAGTCCTGAACCTATTTAACTCTTCTGAAAAGATGTAGCCTATTCTGTACACTAGAGCACCACCATACTTTTTAAAATAAAATGCAAAGACGGTTATTCCTTTGCAATGAAGAAAGATGCTTAAAGGGCAAAACTTCCACTCAAGTGCCAAAGTAGCCATGTATTTCTCTCCATAACATAAAATTATCAAAGTCACCTGTTTTGCCCACTGTGGTTTAAATTAAAAATGAAAAGAAATGGAGGAGGAAAGCCTTCCTATGGAAGCATCCATCCGCAACAGGATGGAGAAATATGAGAGACTGAAGCATGATCACGCCCCACTGGGGAGTTCTTTCTCCCTCCCTCCCTCTCTGGTGAGCTCACATGTCCTCTAGCAATTAAAAACAAAACAAAACAAAACAAAACAAAACAAAAAACACGTCTATTCATGACTGACTGAAAAACCAAAAAACTTTTGGTTGTTTCTGCTTCTACTCTGGCTGCTCTAGTATTCTGCAGTATTGCTAAGTTTGCAGTTAAAAGTCCTTATCATACGTCAGAAAGCTAAGACCTTGGCTTTAACGACAGAAGTACAGAGAAGAAGCTAAGTGGCTGTACTGCTGTCTGGAAGCAATGAGTGGTGGCCATACCCTGGGTCCAACTGCAGAAAGGCAGTCAACGGCGAAGGGACACTGCTGCCCCAGTTTCTAGCTACAGTTCTCTACAGCTCCCTGTAACTACTACTCCTGTCTCTGCAAAAACACCCTGCCTCACTACACAAGAACTACCCGTCAATAGCTTGGAAAAGGAGGCGGGGAGAAAATTCCCATTTAGGGACTGGCAGGTGGCATGGGGGTTAACAGCACGAGACTCCCATATGGCTAACCATAGTTCAAGTCCCAGAGCTGGTGGTTTGCTTTCTCACTCTCCCTCTCTCTCTCACTCTGCCCCTTTCTGGTCAAATTAAAATAAATAAATAAAGTTAAATACTATAATTCTTTCGGGGAAAAACTATCACCATTTATACTGTCTAGCTGAGCATTTAAGATGGATCGGGACTCTCCTCCTGAAGGCAATTTCTATTCCTGGTTGAAATTCATGAACACATATTTCTCGAAATAGCATTTTCAAAACATATTTTTTAATGAACCTTAAGAATATAACCTCTATGTGATGTGGGGGAGGACTACCAACAGTAAATAAAACTTACTAGTACAAGTTGCACATCCATTATCTGAAAACTTGAACTCTATCTAACATGCTCCAATATCTGCAACTTTTTGGAAACTGACATGACATGAAAAATTTTACATCGAGCCTCATGTGAAGGGTCACAATCAAAACAAAATACTGCAGGGCCGGCCAGTGGCATGGTAGTTAAGGAAGCTGGATCCCACATGGCCAACTATGCAATTCAAGTCCTGGACCCAGGAGCTTGAGAAATACTCTGGATAAAAGCAGATTAGTCTATGCAGAAAATCGAATTTCAGATGTGGAAGGCAAAACCTCTGATCTAGAAAAAACAGCCAAAAAAAACTGAGAAAGCAACCCCCCAAAATGAGAATACTATACGAGAAATACTAGATAGCGTTAAGCGCCCAAACATCTGGATTATTGGTATCCTAGAAGGTGAGGAAACTAATAAGTCATTGATGATCTATTCCAAGAAATCTTGAAAGAAAACTTTCCAAATCTAGAGAGGCATGCAAATATCTAGACAAGAAATACAAAGGATCCCCAATAGAATCAACCCAGGAAGATCTTCTCCAAGGCACATCATAGCCAGACTGGTCAAATCTATAGACAAAGACAAAATACTAAAATTGGCAAGAGAGAAATGTCAGGTTACTTATAAAGGTTATCCAATCAGGCTAACCTCTGACTTCTCATTAGAAATAACCTGAGCAAGGAAAGAATGGGAAAATATATTCCAAGTGTTAAGTGAAAAACAGTTTCAACCAAGAATACTATACCCGGCAAGATTATCTTTCATATGGAAAGGATAAAAACATTCTCAGAAAAACAAGACCTGAAAGAATTTGCTAACAGCAGACCCACTCTTCAAGAAGTTCTGAAAGGAGTACTCTACCAGGAAAACTAAAGACAGATAAAGAAATAAGAGAAGAAGGGGCCAGCAGGTGGCATTGTGGTTAAGGTGCTGGATTCCCACATGGCCAACCATGGTTTGAGTCCCAGACCTGGTGCTTTGCTTTCTCCCTCTCCCTTTCTCTCTCTGCCTCTCTCTGGTCAAATTAAAATAATAATAATAATAATAACAAATTAAATAAATAAATGATTTTAAAAAAAGAAATAAGAGAAAAAAAAGCAACCAAGAAAATGACCAAATTAATGCTAGGGACAAGAAATATCAATAATAACATGTTACCTTCCAGGATTTAAATGAAAAGACTGGAACACAGTAATACTGCATATTCAGCCGAAGAGAGTTTGAACACAAGACTGAACTGGCGAAATAGAATTTTATGACTTTTGAGTAAAACATTACTGATTTTTTGTTTGTTTATTTTTGGAAAGGTTTCTGCTATAGGGCGTGTGCACTTGCCAGAGACAGAAAGGGAAAGGATAAAAACATTCTCAGAAAAACAAGACCTGAAAGAATTTGCTAACAGCAGACCCACTCTTCAAGAAGTTCTGAAAGGAGTACTCTACCAGGAAAACTAAAGACAGATAAAGAAATAAGAGAAGAAGGGGCCAGCAGGTGGCATTGTGGTTAAGGTGCTGGATTCCCACATGGCCAACCATGGTTTGAGTCCCAGACCTGGTGCTTTGCTTTCTCCCTCTCCCTTTCTCTCTCTGCCTCTCTCTGGTCAAATTAAAATAATAATAATAATAATAACAAATTAAATAAATAAATGATTTTAAAAAAAGAAATAAGAGAAAAAAAAGCAACCAAGAAAATGACCAAATTAATGCTAGGGACAAGAAATATCAATAATAACATGTTACCTTCCAGGATTTAAATGAAAAGATTGGAACACAGTAATACTGCATATTCAGCAGAAGAGAGTTTGAACACAAGACTGAACTGGCGAAATAGAATTTTATGACTTTTGAGTAAAACATTACTGATTTTTTGTTTGTTTATTTTTGGAAAGGTTTCTGCTATAGGGCGTGTGCACCCGCCAGAGAGACAGAAAGTGAGAAATCACCCCCTGGGGGTATGGCCACGCTGCAATCCCTTCTCCTCATTCTCTTCTCGGGATCCTGGGCATACACGCACACATGCCCAGTGTGAGTTTAAGTTACTGGGTCTGAGACTCGAACTGCAGTCAACTATATGGGAGTTCAGCGACACAGCCATTACGCTACCTGCTGGTCCCTACTGATTTTTTTTTTAAAACTATGCTTTGTTTCCCAATTTAAGCATTTTACTTTCTTCTGAGTTGTTGATAGAATCAGCAATTTGTTAAAATACTTTTCTTGTTTGTTTCTTTAAATGGAAACAAACTTTTCTTCCTTCCTGACCCCTCTGGAATTGGAAAATATTTGGGAGTATTCTTATTTTGTGGCAGGAGTGTTATTTGTATAAGTTTAATAATGTTTGTTGCATTGAATCAGAAATTGGAAATACTCATTATTGGATAGGGCTTTGATTGGAAGGTCATATCTGAAGATTAATCAGGAAACCATGGAACTAAGGTGGACCTCATGTAAGTCAACAGAAGCTCTTAGAAAGATGGTCTGGCATCATAAATAGTTCTGCCTGGCAGAGAGGATTAGAGAAGATATATGAAAGAATTTATAGCATAAAATAACCTGAATTTTTCCAGCCCAGCATTGTAATGAGCAGTGATTACAAAAGAGCAACCACACCAGAGGGTTATCTTGAGAAAGACATTGAAGGAAGAAAAAGAGACTGATCTTTGCTAGCAGATAGTCTATCACAGAATACTTGGTGGGCAGCGCTAACTCAAGAAGGTTCATGTGTGACTAGTGTGCTGGGCATTTGCTTTTCAACAATTTGAGTAGCTATGATGTAAATATTTTCTCAACAATATTTAAAACCATACTATCTCTGTTGTTATAGAGTCACAAATTATACAAAATTATAAGAAATATTTTGAACATTTATCTTTAAAATTCAGTATTTTAAAATTCTGAAAGTTGTTTATTAACTGTCAAGAACTATGGAGTATGAGCAAAAATGTTTTGATATGTGAAGTAAATGTTTGTGGAAAAATGTAAAAGCTAAATAAAAGAAATAAAAAAAAAAAAGAAATACTCTGGAAGCGTGCACGTATGTGCTCAAAAGCCCCAGGAGAAAGGAAAAGGAATTGTGGTGTGGCCATCCCCCGGGGGGGTGATTTCTCACTCTCTCTCTCTCTGACTCTCTCTGATGAGTGCACACACCCTATTATAATACTAAAAAAATAAAAAATAAAATAAAATCACCTTTAGGAAACGTGTATATGGCATATATGAAACAAATGAAATTCATAGTTGGACTTGGTCTCATCACCACCAATTTTCTATTTAGAAAAAACACAAAAATTCCCCAAACTCAAGAAAGTCCAAAATCTGAAACAGTTCTAGTCCCAAGACAGATTTTCACTATAAAGTGAGTGCACTCACCAGAGAGACAGAAAGTGAGAAATCACCCCCCTGGGTGCCTGGCCATGCCGCGATCCCTTCTCCTTCATTCTCCTATCGGGATCTTGGGCACACATTCACACGCGTGCAGCGTGCATTGTAAGCCACCAGGTCCAGCATTTGAACTGCAGCCAACCATGTGGGAGTCCAGCAACGTAATCATTACGCTGTCTGTTGGTCCCTCTATTTTTATTAAAGAATCACTGAGAACATTAATTCTTGAAAATAATAACTTATCAATAATTACGACGAAGAACACATTTCAAAATTTTGAATATAGGGCAATTAGGCAAAATAAACTATATAAATGTTTATGGAAAAATACCTAAAAGAGATTTTCTTTTAAATGGTTTTTAAAGTGTGTTTTCAAAATCAAAGAAACAACTTGTTTATACTTACAGCACAGAATTCTTCAAAGGATATTCTTCCATCTCCGTCCTTATCTGCATTTATTATGGTTTTGTCTACAATTTGCTGTAACTGTGTATCTTTCAGATTGTTCCCCACCATCATCTTCAACACCTGGAAGAGTTCCCCATTGGAAATATAGCCATCTTTATCCATGTCATAGATTCGGAAAGCAACTAAAAAGACAGGAAGGAAAATCAATGGCAATTACAAGTGAATATGTCTAAACAGGAAAAATAAAAAAGAAACAAAACAGTAAATTGCCAAACATCTGGAATTATGATTATGAGGACAGTTTCTACTTAAATATAGAAGTTGTCTGCAAGCACAGTTTAACAGCTGATTAGGAATATGGGCTATGGAGTCAAGACTGACTGGGTTCATTTGTGTAGCCAGTGGTGACTTATTTAATCTTACTAAACTTCAGTTTCTGCAACAAAACTGGGAATAACAAGTCCAACCTCAGAGATTCTTCAAAACATTTCCTCCTACTTTCATTAAAAAAAAAAAAAAAAGGAAAAAGAAATCTCTTAACCAAGTCACATGTAAAGGAATTTTTAAAAACTTGTTTAAAAATAGAATTAAAGTAAGATGGTTTTTGTGCAAACATTTTAAAATCCATGCACACATTTTTCACACTCCACATTTTCCATGAACTTTTTGAAGACACCCCCCCCCAAGCCATTTAGTTTATAAGGCTATTTTCAGTAGAAGGAAATTCTGACTTTCTTCTATCCAACTTTTTAAAAAGAATAGACACATTATTCAAATATACTAAGTTGAAACATTTTTTAAAAATGATTTTCACTAGAACGTAAACTTTGTTATATCTAAAGATCTGGACTAAAAGACATTTTTTAGAATATTTTAAAAGACATTTCTATTCCAATATGGAATGTTAGTACTGTTCAGTGGAGAATAAAGTCAATGATAACATAAATACTTACACCTTAATTTCTGCTCCTTATCTCCTTTGACACTGAACTGAGAGACTCCCTCAATGAATTCTGAATAAGAATAATGAAAAACGTTTGCAAATTAGAACTTCCAACTTTCTACACAGAAAAAACAGTATTTATATACTTAGTTAAAGATACTGCCTTGCTGCAAAACAAAATATTACTAGCAATGTTTAAAACTGAAAATGCCAAATTGGAGGCCAGCAGATGCTATAGCAATTATGTTGCTGGACTCCATATGGCCAACTATAGTTCAAGTCCCAGACCTGGTGGCTATTTAAGCCCCTTTCCTCATGGAATATGACTACAGAAAGGAGTTTTTAAAAAAAGGATTATGAACTGTTTGGCCAAAATGGTAATTTTTCATTTTTATATGAAAATTCAGAATCGTTTAAATATGTTATTGCAAGTTTCCTGACAATGGTAATTTTCTTGACTGCCTGATACACAGCGAAGTTTTAGATCCCTTCACTTAAAATTCAGTTTTTCAAATTGAAATATCAAAATCTACTTATGATTCCCTAGAGAAACAGAATGTTTATTTACTTATAAGCATAGAATAAAATATAAAATTATATATATTAGTATTAGCGAAAGTACTACTACAAGATCTAGACTAACCAAAATAAATTAATCCTGTTCTATGACAATCCTCACAACCTTATTACTACAGATTATTTACTGCTGACTCAGTAAAGGATGCATGAAATAAGACACAGCTTCTAATACCATAGATTGCCTTCAAGTGAGATTAATATTCCGAGATAAAAGAAGCACTAAAATCTTTTCTTGGGGAAAGGTAGATTGCCTAAGAGGAAAAATTGGCCATTTATGAATCAAAAGTAAAGATTATTAAGGTACATATACAACATATTTTATGATTTTAATGTAGTTTGTTATTATAATGATCAAATATATATTCAAGAAAAATTAGACTTTCAGATGTCTATACACAAGAGCTGTAATACTACAACACATAAACTTGTGACTTAAAAAAGATAAAAATACTTTCTTACCTTTAAAGTCTACTTCTCCATTCCCATCTGTGTCAAATATATCTATTACTCGCTGTACTAAAGGATTCTGCTGTAACTCGGGCAGAGACATGAATTCTTCCACACTCAAAGAACCAGAATTGTCCAAATCGAGCTTTTTAAATCTCTTTCCTAGCCTTTTAATTTCATCGGCATCGACTGAAAGCAAACAAAAAAAGGCAGTAAGATTTTAAAGAATAATTTTACGATTGTTATAGGAAAAAACCCTCACTAAGCTATCCAATAGTTTAGTTTCTAATCTGATTAAAAGAACTATATATACATATATGTGTGTGTGTGTGTATATATATATGCTGTCCACTAATTTCTTCTAATAAATTTAGTAAATCATAATATTGTTAATTGTTTACCTTTCTGTTCGTCTGCACCTGCCATAACATACAGCCAACTGTGTGCCCAGTACCAGGATGTTTTAGGACTGACGATGCTTAAGCTGATTACAAGGGCCATGATAAGAACTCCTACTAGATAAGCTAAATTAATCTCTGCTCTGTAACAATGCACTTTTCTTTTCTTTTCTATTTTTAAATTTTAATTTACTTTATTTCTAATAGTTCATTATTCAAAATTCTTAGGGTATCCAAAGTTCAATGTTTCCCTCCCGTGCCACTCCTAGACATCCAATTCCCTTCCTAGGAGGCAATGTTGCTACTTTCTTAAATATTCTTCCAAAAACACTTTTACAAGTAATTTTAACTCCCCCAAAACACACACATTAGAAAAAAATAGAAAAAATGAAATTCACTTTTCAACCCTTTGAAAGAAAAAAATGTAGCTAAACAATTTAACAAATGTTTGCACTGATTTGTACGTAGTCCATAAAAATTCAGTATCAAATCTTTTATCATGTGTGTTCTTGAAAAGGTTTACTTTCTTCTAGATTATGTCATTTCTATGGCTTTTATATATATAAACACTTTTTTCTTTTTCCTTTTTTTTTTTTTTTTTTAGGTTTTTGCCATAGGGCACGAGTAGCTCACCAAAGAGACAGAGAAGGAAAGTGAAAAATCATCCCGCAGGCGTGATGGCCACACCACAATCCCTTCTCCTATACTGTTTTCTTGGGATTTTGAATGCGTGTATGCACACATGCCCAGCATGATTTTCAAGCTGCCCAGGTCAGACATATGGGGGACCAGTGCCTTAACCACTACACCACCTGCTGGCCTTTGCAAATATATTTTAAATTAACAAAATGAATGCTACATTGCGCACTTCACAAAGTGCACGGAAAATAGAATTAACATCCAAATTTATTTTGATACAAAACAATTTGGTGCAAAAAATTTTTGAAATCTAGGCATAAATTTCTCATAATATGTTTTTCTTGACTTTTAAGGCTCTCCCCCACCCCAAATTTGGGCCACCAGGGATGTGGTGGTTAAGGCAGCTGGATTCCACATGGCTGAGTACACAGTTCAAGTACTTGACCCAGTGGCTTGAAAACCACATTGGGCATGTTTGTGTGTACCAAAAATCCCAAAAGGAGGGAGAAATAGAGAAGGGACTGTGGTGCAGCCTTTCTCATGGGGATGCTTTCTCAAACCCCCCCACTAACTCTCTTAACAGACCCCTTGTATTATGGCCCACAATATTAAAGACACAACTGTTTTGACAGCTTACACTCATGACATCCTCATTGCAAGAACTTAAAAATTAAGTATATATTTTCAAAATATAAAAACGTATTAAAATGAAGGTGCGATGATAATCTGCACTACTGAAGAATAGACAATACAGCTACAGGATGCTGTTCTAGCACGAATGAGTTTACATAATCGATGGAGAGAAGAAGGCTGGCAGGAGAGCACAGAGAACTGTCCCTGGTTCTAGGGATTTCCTCAGTAAGACATGAAGGAATCAGAGGCAAGTTTTCTCAAATTAATAAGAAAGCCTAGACTAGTTCTGTGGCTTGGTGATTAAAAGCAGCTCGATCACACATGGCTAGATCAGGGTTTGCATTCCAGACCCAGAGGCTTGAGAAACACGCCAGGTGCAAATGCATGCATGCTTGGATCCCAACAGGATGGAGAAACGGAGGAGAAGGGATTTGGGCATGACCATTCCTCATCGGGGTGGGTCTCTCTCTGGCAACTAACTGCACTCATTTTCTGGCAAAACTTTTAAAAGTTTTTTAAAAATAAAAACCTTAACTATGAAGTCATTTTTAAAAAGGTTAAAGCAAAAAAAAACAAACAAACAAACAAAAAAAGGTTAAAACAAGAAATGCTACCTTCTCTTAGAGAAAATAATAGCAAGTATTCAGCAGGCTTCAGGAACCACGAGGTTTTCCAACACTGTGTTACCTGGTAAACACTGAGGGTGCAGATAAAGAAGCCACCAAGACAACTTCTCTTGTACTATTCTAAGGTCCACAAATCTATTTGTATACACTGCTTCATTATTACTTTTTACAAAACTAGTTTGTATCAAGCAAATGAGCTCAAGAACCTGAGCCCACTTTATGGCTCTTAAGCGATGAGCTATAGTGTTTAATAATGCCAGAGTTCATCTGTATTTGTATTTTAAAATTCATTATTGTTTATGCTAGTGCTCTGTTACAAAGCTACATGATGAGTGATCCGGCCATCCGTATATTTTCAAGGTATCAGTATTTTGCAGCATGTGAGGGTTTTCAGAAACACATATACTACATCTTCAAACTGCAAAATACACATATATTTAAAACCAATCAAAAATTCAAATGTACACTTCACAAACACATCAACTGTATAAAGCACTTTATTTCTCCATTAAAGAGTATTCATTTTTAATGGAATAAAAGCAAAATGTTCAAATAAATCTTTTTAAAAAAATTTTTTTTCTACAATTGCCAGAGAGCAAGTGCACTTGCCAGAGAGACAGCAGTTATCTCCCTCCCACCCATGGGTCATGTCATGACGCAATCCTTTCTCTTCCATTTCTTTATTCTGTCAAGATTTGGGCACAAATGCCCACTCATCTGGCATGTTTTTCAAGCCGCCAGGGCTGGGATTTGAACTATGTGGTAAGCTATGTGAGAGTTGGCTCCTGATGCACTGTGCTTAAGCACTACACTTCAGGGTTAGCCTTCTTAAAATCTTATTTCCCCATTTTCTGTTATGAAACTAGATACTCTCATTCTTAGAAGCAGAAATGTGATGAAAGTCCCACAAACACTTTTCACTTACTTAGTTACTATCACCTCCACCTCAGGGCAGCGTCCTCTGCTTTCTTGTGGGTGTTCTGTTACTGCATATAGCAGGTATTTGCAACTTATTGATCAAAGTGCCACCAATATTTGAAGTAAAACTACCTGACCACACACCAACCAGCAAACCATTCAGAACAATTTCTCAAAGTTTATAGATTTTACTAAAGACCTACCCACTTATGCTTCCCTTAATTTTACCTACAAACCACATAATTATTATTTTCTTCTTGCAATCTTTAGTTCTCCCTACACTTACAACAGATCATAAAAAGTGAAGGGAAAACTGAACATAATAGACAATATCTTTTCTCTTTCTCCTAGAGAATTTTGCTATAGGGTGCGTGCGCTCTCTGGAGAGAGAGAGCGAGCGAGACAGAGAGACAGAATGGGAAGAATCACTCCCCAGGTGGGCTTGGCCATGCCACAATCCCTTCTCCATTTTCCTCTCGAGATTTTGGGCATGCACGCCCATCATTGAGTTTTAAGCCATCAGGTCCAAGACTTGATCCATGGTCAGCCACAAGAGAGTCCAGAGCCTTAACCACCACGCAACTTGTTGGCCCCAGTAAGAGACAGTATCTTAGAGGTGGAAAAAGGAAAGACAGTGTCTCCACAAACAGTAATTTCACAAATCAGGATTATTTCCTCTGTACTGTATATTAATGAAGAGAAGAGGACAGAAATGTAGTGCCATAAACATATATATCCCCAGGGTGGACGGCCACACCTTAATCTCTTCTCCTCTATTCTCCCCTTGGGATTTTGGACACACACACACACACACACACACACACAAACGTGCTCAGTGTGAGTTTTTAGGCTGCCGGGTCCAGGACTCCAACTGTGGTCGACTACGTGGGAGTCCAGTGATGTAACCACTATGCCATCTGCTGGTTCCTAGAATGTTGTCTATTAAAGGGCCAGTCAGCTGTGTGGTGGTTAAGGTGGCTGAATCTCACATGACCAGCTGAGCAGTGCGAATCCCAAACCCAGTGGCTTAAAAAACATGCCAGACACATGTATGTGCATGCCCAAAATCCTGAAAGAAGAAATGGAGAAGGGATTGCAGTGTGACCATGCACTATGGAGGGTATTTTTTCACTTTCCAGCTCTCTCTCTGTCTCTTCAGCCAGTGCACAGCACAGGCCCTCTGGCTGGCTGGCTGCCTGACTGGCTAGCTGTGTACACAAGTGCATACATACATACATAATTACCAGATAATAATATAGAGGAATCATAAATGTACGTGGTTCTGTGTACCTTTTTTACATTGCCAATGGTAATCTTACCAAAAGGCAAATTCAGCCCCAAATTATAAGCTCTCATGTGAAAATATTTCTAGTGGCTTCCTAATGTAGTCTAAAAGTCCTTGACAATATTTAATATCCATTTAAATGTCCATTTTATCTCTTCCCATTTTCTTTTCTTAAGCTAAATGCTCTTGGTACAATGTTCCTGGTATAACTCTGCTACAGCATTAATTTCACACCTCCACTTCTTTATATACCTTCTGCTGGGATATCCTCACCTGAACTCTCTTTTTGAGATGCCTACCAATTTTCTCTAGGTAAAGAAAGAGGGCTGTTAATTAATTTTATATTCTGTAGTTATTAGTATCATTAACTCTCTCTCTAGCAAAAGCCCTGAAAACAGCACTGAAAAGGCATTTACGTATCTGTTCACTAATGTGTATTTCGTCCTTCTCTCCTCTTTCTTCCCGTTAGTTACAATGATGACAAAGACACAGACTACTGCGAATACTCAGTGCACACAAACTATCTAATTGAGGCTAGCTGAGCAACTAGCAGAATCTGTACCTAAATATCCAGCATGTTTTAAATGGCTGGCTTGGACAGTAAAATCATGAATATTTTTTAAAAGTTAAATTTGAATGGGATCAGCAGATGGCATAATGGTTACGTCACTGGACTCCCATATGGCTGGA